ATAAACCATGCCGTTCAAAAGAGACTAAGATTAAAAAAATTTAAGTAGACAAAAAGATCAGAACCCATCATCTCCAGCAACCAACATCCCAATAAGCAGGGATTAACACCAGATAACCAAACATAATGAAGGAACTTCCAAACAGAAGACCACATCCCTATCAACAGTGATGGGACAAGCTTCTGTATATAAACTGGAAATAAACTTCACTAGTACTGATGTTTCATTACCTGACAAGGAACATTATCTGAAAGCAGACAGCAAAGCTCGGAGAGCTCCAAGTACAAAATAACATTTCTGGAATGATATTAATTTCATTTGTTGATAGACATATCAATTAACACATTATGTCCAAAGATTCAGAACTTAGCACACTTTCATCCCTAGTTGAAGGTATAGAATTATTTAATGTTGTAATTAACATACTTCAAGGTGCTTCACAGATTTCAATGATCAGTATGAAGAATGTCCTTAAACTCATGCAGGAAACAGCTCTGGGGTTCAGTATTAGTGGATGGAAGTTAAAGGTGGAGGTTCGACTTTGTTAGGTTTGCTCATGTTAGACTGTTCATTGTGCACTAGCTACTAGCCTGTTCTAGCCTGGAGACTTTTAGAGGTATGGATCTGCTAGTCTTACTGGCTAGGGAATTGTGAGAATTGCAATGCAGATATTTGGAGGGGACCTAGGTTGAGAGAACTATTTAAATGCACCATTAATATGAAGGTATTGCAAGTAAATCTATTGGTGGGGTTCCAGACTTACCTTCCATTCATCCCAAAGATCTGTCATCTGCTCAATAACTAGAGCTATCCATTTGTCACCTGCTCCCACCATGTCCTTTAGTTTATCCTCTTGCTATAGCTGCCTCTCTCGCTCCTCTTAGTGCCACAACCAAGCTCTTTCTCTGTGCCCTGGGATTACACTAAGCATATTAACATTTTCTGCTAACAGTGTTACCTTTATGTGCAGAAAAAAACTATGAGAAATGTTAACCCACAATTCTAAGGATGAGCAAGAAAGATCACAACAGTTTTAAAGAGAATCTCTTTTAATTTTAAAAACATTCGAAAAGTTTACAACGTAAAAATGGTACTTTGCTGATATAAAAATGTGACTTAATGGAAGTCTTACGTACAGGTTAATATTACGTATCTGTACCTTAATCAGATTCCTTTTATCGTTCAACTCCATCAGCATTTAAGGGAAGACTAAAAGAAAAAAAAATGTATTCCTTCCAAACTCGCAGATCCTGTAAGAAAAAAACCCTATTTTTTCAACCATTTTTTAAAAAACTTGGGGTAGTGCTTAATGCATAAATCTAGTTCAGGAGAACTGAGTATAAGTTCCCTTTGTAAGAGTACCTGGTTTGGCTGACTTGACTAAAGTGCTTTCTACACAACTGCTTCATTTGCCCCAACTCTTCATTTGTCCCCCATCTTTTAAGAATTTTGCTAGGCAGCTGTGCAATACTCACCTTCCTCTCCTTGAACTACCAGTATTCCCTCTACCTAACCAACGGGAGAAAACTAAAATATGGCCACTAACTTGTCCCCTTCTCTTGCTTTGTTTGCTTTTCGTGGGGGAAGAAGAAGGAAAATAATTATGGCTATTATGTAAGAGAACAACCTCTAAGAACACCCCAGAGAAGAAGCACTTTCACTTCTATGGCTCCTCACTCCTAGGAGAGAAGTATCTCATGGAGCCAGGATTTCTTTTGCCAGGGGGTGACCACAGAAGCAAAGATGCTTTTGTCCTACAGCATTTTCTCTGGAGTCGGGGGCTCATTCAGTTCTAAATTAGCCCAGCACACGAATCTTTCTGGAAGCCCGGCATATCATGACATTATGAAAGATGGTTGTCATTTGGAATTGGTTTAGCCAGTGATGGGATTCAAATAATTTAACAACCGGTTCTCTGCCCTAATGACCAGCTGGGTAGGCGTGGCTCGGTGGTCATGTGACCATGTGGGCGTGGCCAACTCAACGTCACTTATGTCGATGGCGCTTAGCTGTTACAATGTAATAAGGGTTAACCAGAGAGGCAGTTTCTGTAAGCAGGGCAATAAAAATTAGGCTAGAAACAACACCAGAATGTTTCCTTTTTGCCTTCCTTACAGGATTGGCCCTGTAAAGTGGGAAAAAACAAAATAAGATTTCTTCCCCACAACCAGTTCTCTGAACTGCTTAGAAAGTTAACAACCGGTTCTACCGAATAGGTGCGAACTGGCTGAATCCCACCACTGGGTTTAGCTCATTTGTATGGAAGACTTCCAAGAATGCTAAAAAGTAATACTTGAAAGGAAAAGGGGATACAAGCTACATTTTTATTTAATTGGGAAATTTATTAGAATGTTCCTTATATAGTGCCGAGTGAACCATTTACTTTGGGGAGTGCTATCCCGCCAGAGTGCCGCATGCACTTTATATGGCCACCTACTTGCTCAAGCAACTCTAGGCACTTACAAGCAGTAAAAACACAGTAGAAAAAATAAAAATAATTAAAAAAAACCATTTCCTCCCCCATTCCCCCCAGTGACGCAAAGTCAGATGATGCATTTCATGGGGTCCTCCATCCCACAATGGGTTTCCCAGCCCTCTTGGCAAAGCCAGGACTTCAGGGCTTGTACTATTCATGCTGCTTGGATGAAGAAATTTGTGGAAATATACGTGGGGTACTACCATTTTTACCCTCCAATTCTTACCTGAAATTATTCTGACTTGTGTTCTTCCTCCTTGGTTGGCTCTGGAATTTCAAGGCCTCCCGCTATGCAAATGACAGACAAGTCAACCTATTCTGCAGCCCTGGGGAAAGCTGAACACTTCCATGACTCCATAAAGAATGGAAAACTGGACTGTTGTACGCAATGTACAATGGTTTGGTTCTAATGTACTAATGATATTTAGTACTGCATTTAGTACCATCATTCAGTTCATACATGCTCCATAAGATACATTTTAATCATGTTGGCAGTTTTGTGTAAAAGGTTGTTTGCATTTTTCTACTGGTTTTAAACAGGGGTGGGCTTCAAAAATTATAGCAAGGGTCTTGGCCAGTCCACCCAACTGCTCTGGAAACAAGCCAACACCAGAACGGAATAAAGCAGTTGCAATCCTTTAATTAGGTTCAGCACAGCAAACACAGGCAGGAGAAAGGCACAAGCCAGAAACAAGGTTTAAAGTTAGCGCTACACGCAATCGCAGTGTAGCGCCTTTTATATACACAGCAATAAATCAAGTGGCAATTAAACAGTTAACATCACCCCTCCTTCCCCTAGCTGGCCTGAAGGAGGAGCACAATAAATCAATTAACAATCAAACAGTCAACATCATCCCTCCTTCCTCAAGCTGGCCTGTAGGAGGAGCGCGCCTCTGTTACAGCACAAGGCAGCGTCATCTGCAAACACCATGCAGGGCGAAAATGGCCTCCCCAGGCTCCGGAGGCCCTCTGGAGGCCAGAAACGGGCCCTGAACTTCTGGTAAGCCTATTTTTCACCGTCCCTGAGCCGCCGAGCGCCCTGCACTTGCCTGCATTCAAAACAGGCCGCGTGGGAACTCCTGGGAGGGGCGGGGCCGGGCCAGCCAGGAGTGGGATTTGGGGATTCTCCGAATTGCACAGAATCTTAGCTAGAGATTCTCCCAAACCTCTGCAAACTCCCAGCAACCCACCCCTGGTTTTAAACATATTGAAGTATTCTGGAAAGGAACAGTGGCACTTCATATAGATAAAAAGCACCTAATATTTATTTCCATTGTCTAGTCTACAGTCAATAAAACATGGCATGCACTAAGAAAGTGCATCTTAATGCTTATTCTACTTTTGACTTTTGGTCCTGTGAACTTGATTGACTTTTTGCTGAATTTTTCCTTTTGTACTTATTAAACTATCTCTGAGGAGGATCTTGTGACAAAATTTTGAAAAAATGGGAACTGTGCAAATTTCTAAGTTAGGCTATTAGAGAAAAAACTAAAGCAATATTCAAGATTTTTTTTTAAAAAAAGAGGAAGATATACTAAGTGAAAGATGGCTTCATGCAATGATAATCTAGATTATTCAGTAATTTAGGTGACTGAAATTTGTATGAAAACTTCAAGAAGTAAAATACAAAGGCCAGAGTAAATGCATATAGAATCAATTATTGGTATGATTTCTCACTAGAAATATGAACAAAATATGTTGGCTTGGTTACATTCTCTGTACTTTCCCATCTTGGCCTAAATCTTCTGAATCCATATTTAATCTCAACTTCCTTTATTTAGAATTGTAAAACATATTATCAAAGCAGGAAGGAAATGTACGCCACTATAGTTTAAAATATTACAAAGATGAACATGCAGAGACGATGATCAATGATTTATAGACTGCTTCTTCAAAATTTTATCTGACAATGGCTGTTATAAACCCCTTGCTTTGGTCTTTTCCCCCCTGTACTCATTGTAGAGTAACATGAGAATCTGCTCCAAAAAAATTATTGAGGCTTGTTCAAAGGATCTTCATGCTGATGAAATTATACTTCTCTGATTTAATTCTAAGGTGGAAAAAGAAATTTCAGTTTGGAATGAGTAAATTGCTGACTAAGATTATGCCTGTGAATAATGTGAATTGAGAAAGGATTCCAACTTTGTTTGAGACATCTATAATAATGAATAAACCAAAGTGAAGAAATTAATTTTCCAATCCCTCCTGATCTCAAACACTTGCTTGATTTAGAATTCAAAATGCTGTTGAAAGGCCGACTTACTTTGCAGGATCAAGGCTTTAAATGCCAATAACCAGCCAACTTCCATGAGAACAATTAATTGCATTGTATTCCCCATGCTTTAACCTACATAAAAGGTTTAGGGAAATTGGACAATGCATAGCATTTTTGTCAATAGTCTGCTGTACACTAGATTATGCAATACAACAAGCAAAACTCTACCCTATCCAATTTCTTCCAGTGAATATAACCAATAATCCAAAGGAAAAGGAAAGACAAATAATAAAAATTGTATATGCATCATTAAGAAAAATGTTATTTATTTTGAAAATAACACAGCTGTGACAATATTTTTATGAAATCTGGCTAATAGTGGTTGCTGGATGTAGAAAGATAATATATGAGCTATATTGCAACAATTGTAGGCTAAAACATTATAGAAAGATGGAAAATTAATAAAGGTGAAACCAAGTTTGCAAAAATTGATAGACGTTCCAGGTTTATCATGTTTCATTCAAGACACAAACTGTTGGTTTTAATTCTCTCTTCTTAATATTATCAAAACAAACATATAAAAAAACAAACAAACTCTCAAACAAACCCAATAACCAAGCAAGCCAGTTATCAGCAATATAAAAGTACCGTAGTGAATGATTCTGTTTAAAAATATTATATTATTATTGTAGGTCAAATTATGGCTATTAAATTCACGACACCATAAAGGCCCTTTGGTTAATCGACTCTTGCTTTGTCCTCTCCATCTAGCCGACGTGAAGGACTCAACATTGCTCACTCATCTAACTTCAGGAGGACAAGTTAGAACTGGGAGGGCTTGGTGTTATTTGGGATAGGAGACCTAGCAAATTGGAATGAATGGAAGTGTCTGAAAAAAAGCATAGCATCTAATAATTTGGAGTTAGGGGAAGGGAGATTTCTTATCAATTTTCTTTCTGACAGATTAGCTGAGTGAGGAGAAGCAGTAGCAGCAGCAGAACAGTCTTCTATGGAAGAAAACCAATCTTTACCTTAGATCAACAAATGTTTCTGAAAATAATGTACTAGTACTTCACACTACGACATGGTGATATTGGTGGGGTGCTCTGTATTGGCAGTGTCCTTGGTTGTTCCTCTTGGCCGGAAACAATTTTACCTAAAGCACCTAAACCCCAAGAAATGCAATTGAAAAACTGTTCAGTTCAGTGCGCTGAAAGGCAAATGAAGCTCCTTGTCAAGGAAACTGTTAAAGTTTTTTTTTAAAAAAATAATCTGAGCTAATACTGCTGTGAATTGTATCTGGCCCTGCGTTCTTAAAAAACTAAGCAAACCTACACCGATATCCCATCCCATAATTTTGTTAGCTGCCTGTCTAACTTTTGACCTGCCTCCTTATTATTTTAAGAAAAGATGTAAAGAATGGATCCTGGCTTCACTTGAAGGCAGGTGGCCTACCTGGGAACTAAACTATTTGACCACTGAAATGATTAACTGTTCAATTTTTAAATTTGTTTTAAATCAGTTTGTGACAAATGTGCAATGTATGATTCATTTGAAAAACTATAATTGCCTGTACAAAGTAAGCTAAAAATTAAAAATATATACCATAAAATAAAACATTTAGGAATGTAGGAGTAAGTTGTAGTGATGCTATATTATTAATGGCTAAAAAGCATATTAGAGATCTAACTATGGGTTCCCTTCTCAGAAACCTTATGATACAATTAGAGGCTTGATGCTTTTTGTATTTTCAATAGACAATATAATCAGTTGGGTGATAGAAAATGTTATCACAAAATAATTTTAAAAGCTGATTGAAAAAAGTATATAATATATTTGAAGGAGATAGACATAGTACTGGCCATAATTTATAGAATAATTCATTTTAGCTATTGTAACACTGGACTTTAAATTGGCATGTTTGCCTGCAAACATTCCCTAACTCTATTGTTGCCACATCAATTAATTGTTTATAACAAATAGTCTGACTGTGCCTTAAAAAAACAACAACCAAATATAACATTGAGAAAAGCTAAGGAGGTAAATATGAATATTATTTCAAAAATGGAAAATTGTTAATAGATCGACCAGAGGAAAATAATCACTATATATACCCTCCTGTCTATCTGTATGATACTCACGCATGCACACGCACGCACACATACCCTAACTATAGGTATATAATATACCTGTTCTACTATTAATACAATGTGATCAAAAGTAGCTAAAATACTTTTTAAAAAGAGGACAATGAGGCACTTTAGAACTACCTCTGGTAGAAAAGAGGACACTAGAATTTTTTTTTAAAAAGCCCTTTTATACTAGGTTGCTTTCTGAGTGAAGCAAAACTGGAATACATGTTTGCATTGTGCAGAGCAAAGGAGACATGAAATGTGCAAAAGCATTTCGGCTACCTGCTCATTAAACCTAAGTAGCAGCCAATGGGGAGTACCGAGGTATCGTCAGTGGATTAAAAAAGGCAAGATGGCAGCCACAGCCAAAGCAATCCTCTTCATTGTGCCATATTACTACAGATAGGGCACTAAATGAATGGTGGGAGACCTCCAATTTATGTAGGGTAAGGCACATAGGAACTGGTATGGGACCTAAATCTCCTAAATTTTTCTGCCTAGGAAGTAGATCCACTTTTGAGCATGCTTGAAGGTATTTTGGGCAGTGGGTATTGCAGCCCAAAGTTATTAAGTACTGTCTCCAGCCTCAAAAAAACTGAATAATGATAATCAAGTCCAATTGCTGGAAATGACAAATGCATGCCAATGTAGCTTAACTGGCCACAATAAAATTGCTTCTTGCATCCTGGGAAAGTTTTTAAATTTCCTAATCAGCCCTACAGCCTTAGGATTTTGTATTAGTTAAAAGTCCCATCAAAGGCTACATTTCCCAAGATCTACCTGTTGCAACTGAATACCTCTAGGATCCAACAGAATACAATGGCGGTTACTAATAACCCTCTGAAATAAACCAAAGATATAGCTGCCAATTAGGCAGTGAGGCTTTTTGCTTACAAAGTGCACAAGCAGAAAGAGGAAAAATGTATGATCCATTTTTCATCCTCTTACGGTCTTGGATAAATCCAAGCATTCCTTTTTAATCTCTTCATTTTATCCAATGAAAAGGCAGTCTGCTGAAAATGTAACATTGATTGTTCCTTTTGATGACTTGCCTCAATCTTTAGATGAGTCTCCATGCACTCTGTATTTTTTTTTCTTCCCAAAAAATGCTGCTTTAGCTACTGTCCTCAGCTACTGCCCGGGCAGCTGCAGAATCAGCATTTACCTTGGAATGCTGAAATGAAAGAAGAAAGGCAGGCTCCAGCTTAAATGTCTGAGCTTGAAGTTCAGTAATTATAAATCTTAAACAATGGACAAGACTTTTCTGAGTCTTGAGTGATTTCTGCATGGGACTTCTCCTGTTCATCTGTCCATTTTCTATCCTTTCTAAGGATACATTTTTAAAAGCATCACTTGATAATCCAGTAAGCGAGTAACGGTCAAGTAAAGTTGCAAGAATCAAAAGGCATTTGTCCCAATTGGGCCCGGTAGACTCTTTTGCTTGACCTTATGGAGACGTGCTTTTGTCACGGGGAGAGCCATTTCATCCAGAAATTATTGTGGCTATTAAGTGAAGATAATATGTTATAGGTTTTCTTCTGATATTCTGATTTAGCAGGTGGAAACGTGAATGACGAACCAATGCGTATCGTGACGGAAGAGCAAATTCTGCATTAAAGGTTGAAAAAAACGTAATCCCAGTTCAGAAGCCACAATGAATTATCACACAATACTGACTTGAATTGTTCTGATTTAGTCTGTGGTCCTACTCCAATACTCCTGGTCTCAGAAAGGACCTCTTTCGATAATTCCAGGCTTCTGTTTTAGGTTACAGACGAAGGAGGGATAAGCTGCAACTGTATTTTGATATGATTGAATGAAGGGAGATATGCACGTTTTCCCACTGGGTGGAATTCCCCAGTACTAGCATATACAGGAACACAGAGCACTGGTAACCCTAGCAATCTGATTTTGACTCAGATGCTTGTTCTTCTTCTTGCTCGGGGGCTAAAGGACTGTCACAAGATATAGTAGATGAAGTGTTTGCTTCATTCAGAGTTGAACTAAAATTGAGAAAGAAAAAGAGTGAGAATTAGGACCATTCAATTGTGGTAGACATAGTTGAATGGCATGAATCATCTTCATTCTTATCATCATCGTCACTATCATCACAATCATTAGCATCAGAATCATCATTATCCAGTTTGATTTTGGAGCCAGTGATGCAAGATGACAGAAAAATTCAGGAAAACTTGCTCTAATTTTGAAAAAGAAATAAATTTCTAGAAGATAATTTGGAGGGGTTATTTAATGAATATATTCTTCAACAGAAGGCATTCTGCAGGCCTTAAAATTCTTTTCAACAATATTTTTCATATTTTTCATATATATATATATATATATACACACACACACACACACACATATATATATATACATATACATATATACATATATATACATACATATACATATACATATACATATACATATACATATACATATACATATACATATACATATACATATACATATACATATACATATACATATATATATATATATATATATATATATATATATATATATATATATATGTATTTCTCTTTAGCCAGGTTCTTCCTAAGTAAACCAAGATTTTTATGCAGCCCTAGTTCAGTGAAATCCCAATCCACTAGTTTCTAGGCTTTTTTCAGGTAGCCAGCAAGCACCCTGCTACCCATCGGGAGACTAAGGAGACTAAGGTAGATCTATTTCGGATTTATAATCCCTCATCAGTTAGCCACACCTTCATCCCATGTATCCTCCCTGTAAAGGTACACTATTTGTTTTTTCTTTTTGTAGGCCTTTATGTGTATTTCTCTTTAGGCAGGTTCTTATATATATATCTCATATATATAGCCAAATATATGTATATTTCTATGTAAAAAGTTAAAATCTCGGTGTTTTCCCGCATCATTAAAAGTCTGTTAACTGAAATAAACTCCTTGCTAAAATCCCAGCTTAAAATCCTCCAAAATCCCAACAAAACACTTTTTAAGGTCTTTTGAGACTCTGGCTAAAATCCTAACCATCACTTTAAAAGTTATCTTTTTGGCAACGTTTCGACAAGCTCTCTAACTTGTCATCATCGGGCCCCTACTTTCAGTTTAGAAGCTGTGGGTATGTTGCGAGATCGGAGTTGTCGCTTTTCTATGTTCACTGCTGCTGACGTATGCTGGTTAGCCTGCAACTTTGTGTCCTGATTGGAGAGCAGCAGTTTTTTTCTCCTGCTTCATTATCCTATATATTTCTATATGTATATTTATTATAGTTTTCTTCGTTTTACATCACAGTTTCAAACTTTGCAGCAGCAATATACCGGTATACATCCACATTTTTTTCTTTTATATTATATATTCTATTATGTCTCTTAAATGCAATTTCATATTCATAATTATTGTTTCCATATTTCTAACCCAAATCTCTCTATAATTATCATTCTATGTATTTTATTTTACATTTTTATAACATCCTACTATAATATTTACAATAAATATTCTGTCTATCACTATACTTACATTTATTTCTAAATTCTAGTCCACTGATCGTCTTTCATTGTTACTTTTCTAAACTTTGCATCTACTCTCCAACCATTTGTACCATACGTCCCAAATTAGATAGTGTTCTGTTTCTTCTTTATCTTTAATTTCGATTGTCAATCTATCCATCTCAGCAGAGTCTAATATTTTCTTTATTATCATTTCCTCAGAGGGTATATTACCATTTTTCCAATTTTGAGCATATACAATTCTAGCTGCTGTTATTACATTGTAATATAAAGTATTGGCTTATTAAATTATATTTCCCTGTCAATATGCCTAATAGAAATAGCTCTGGTTTTAAATCTATTTGCTGTTTTATCATTTCCTCTATCCACTTTTTTATTCTTATCCAGTACTTTTTTGCCGAAGGACAGGTCCACCACATATGATAGTATGTTCCCTGTGTCTGTTTACATTTCTAACACTCTGGGGACTGTTTGGGAACATTTTTGTTAGTCTTGCTGGCAGTAGGTGCCATCTATAGAACATTTTATATAAGTTTTCTCTATATGCTGCTGACATTGTCAATTTATAATTTCTTTCCCATAGCTTTTCCCAATTGTCTAATTCTATGGTATAGCCGAATTTTTTTGCCCAGGTTATCATATTTTCCTTTACAATTTCTTCATTTTAAACCTCAAAAAGTAGTTGTAAATTTTTTTTATCAATTTTTCATCTGTCCCCTGTAGTATCCTGTCCAATTCTTGTGGTTCACTATAAAACCCATAGTTTTCTACATCTTTCTTATACCTCTTCTGAATTTGCATATAGGGCCACCAGTCCAAACCAATTCCCTAATTTGTTAATTCCTGTTTTTTTTTGACATGAATCATCTTCATTATTATCATCATTGTCACTATCATCATAGTCACTAGCATCAGAATCATCATTATCCAGTTTGATTTTGGAGCTAGTGATACAAGATGACAGAAAAATTCAGGAAAACCTGCTCTAATTTTGAAAAAGAAATAAATTTCTAGAAGATAATTTAGAGGGGTTATTTAATGAATATATTCTTCAAGAGAAGTATTCTGCAGGCCTTAAAATTCTTTTCAACAATATTTTTCATATTATATCTTCCTAGTCAAGAGAACAAGCAGTTGGGACGGAATAATGTCATGGTAGGCGATATAAATTAAAAATATTCTAACCTTGCTCTGCTGCTAGAGGCCTCCGGAGGGTTATTATTGTCTCCCTCTGGTTTTGGATCAGGTAAAGGAATGATATAATCATTGTCCACTCCATTCTGCTCCACAGCTGTATAGAGGACAGAACTTGAACTGACACTGTCACTTGCAGTGGACCTAGAAGGACTGAATCCTGTGTTCCTGGGCCTTGTACGCATAATAGCAGGGTGATCACTTTTCAAGAACTCTTCGTTGACCTGTTGATACTTCTGCTCGCACGCAGAGGCAATGAGAATAGAAAGAATGGATGAGTACATATACCTATTCATCTACAGAGCTCTACATTGAACAGTGTTTTATACTTGAGTTATAATACATCTGGACCAGAGGCGGGTTTCAAAACCCATTGCTACTGGTTCACTTGTGGGCACACATGTACTTGCGCGTGCAATGCTTCTGCGCACGCAGAGAAGCATCCAGGCAGGTGGGTGGAGCCTTCTGCCACCGTCGCTACAAGTTTGCCCGATCCAGGGTGAACCGGTAGCAAACCACCACTGATCTGGATGTTGCAGTAATAGTGAATATATTATCACTGCAATTCCAAAGATATAGAATTCATGGTTACTGAAAATGGATAGATCTTACTTTTAAGTAGATTTTTTTAGACATATATGACATATCTCCAAGACATATATACATATCTCCAAGAGTAAATGATGAGGTAAAGTGCATTTCAACATGGAGACTATGAATGCATTCTGTGTTTACCTTTGGTTTTTTAGAAAAAAACCCCAATGCATTATATAAATGGTCATGTATCTATATTTTGCTTACTTGAGATATGCCAGCTTTATCTTTCAAACGTTTGAAGGGCTTTTGGACCATGAATGAAGCTATTTGTCACATGAAATCTGGTTTAAACTGGGGCTGTAGTGCATATCTTGGTTGCAGTCTGGTGGACCAATCTGTAGCCATTATATTTCATCAGATTCCTTTTCTGTCTACATGCCTGACTTATTTCAGAATCACGAGCACACTGACTGACTTCTTGAGGTCACCAGAATGTAACAGAGTTTGAAAGAACAGTTCAGAAAATGCCAAATGTTAGGTTTGGTAGAAAACTATTTAATATTTATGCTGTCCTTTATTGCCTCCAAGAATGTCAACAAATTAAGATTTGAATTTTGTACATTACTTTCTAAGTTTATAGCAGCAGTTCAAAAGAAAAGATATTATCTAGATAGATTTTGATTTAAAAACTGATCATCTTTCTCTGTTCAGGTCAAATATAGTTTACCTTCTTATAGCTGTCTGTTAGCAGGTTCCCCATAAGAAGTACCAGTTGAGAGAAAGAAGGTCGAATCTCAAACTTCTCTTCCCAGCATTTCTGCATAATTTCATAGCTAAAAACATATGAAAGAATATTTCAAGGTTTGGGAAAGTTTTGAAAAGTGGATGACATTTCCCTATAAAGACAATTGTTTACCCAAACCACTCACATTTCATTGGATGCATGGGTAGGTTTGGACATCCGGTAGCCACGTTTAATAGCATTATAGAATTGGTCATTCATAGGCAGTTCAGGATATGGAGTCCCACCTAAGAGCAAAAGAGTGAACTTAAGCAACCACCATTTCTTTCTCAATTTCACACAATGTCAGTGGTTGTCGGGAATGGTCCCTCTCAGACAGAAAAATGGATGACAGAAAACACTAATATAAATAGAGAAGATTATGTAGATAGACTACAGAAGTAACAGTTTTTCATTTTAAACACAGAATAATTGGATGGGAGGATATATCAAAGGTTAAGTTGCACAATCCTGACCAAAGAGACATACCTAGAGTGAATATTTCCCATAGAAGAATCCCGAAAGACCACACATCACTTAAGGTAGTGTAGAGGTTGTTGAAGATGCTCTCAGGGGCCATCCATTTCAAAGGCAAGAAGGTCTAGTTAAAAAAAGTAAAACAGATTTTATTTTTTTAAAAAAAACTTCCCATAGTACTGACCACTGAAGGTTTTTGAATGGTTACTTTGCTAATGATACTTTTCTGTGAATGTTAATGGAACTCGTTTGGAACCTAGGAAGAACTATAAATCCATCTCAGTCAAGAAGGGGATCTCATGACTATAACCTTGCTATTGTCAGTCCTGCTCAGCATGATTCGCAATATGACAAAGTGTGACTCTGATCAGCTGTAAAACACTTAGTCAAGTAATTAACAATAATACGAAGTTTTAAATTTCATATGTAGAGAACGGATTGCTGCTTCAAAAGTAATTTAAATGATGATCCCAATCCAAATCCAATTTCAAAGAAAGGACGGCTATTTCAAAAACACAGATGGAAGGAGAAAAAACTTCACCATTTTCTTTACAAGTTACAATGTATGGAGAAAATTCCACCTCTTGAAAGCTAGTAGGGCTTTAGTGAGGACACTGCCTCTAACGTTTATTGGTGTCTGGTCATAATTTTGAGTCTGCAGGCATCCAAATGGAGCAACTTGTACATAGAGACAAGTTACTTACTTGCCTCTTGTACTTACATTGTAAATATTATATGTATTGGATTGTTTCCATAGTGAAATACGACAGTGCGGTGAGGAAGAATTGGAGATTCATGCAATATTAGAAAGACAATATAGCCGCAGACTTTTGGTGCCTCTTAAGTGCAAAGTAACTCTTTGGGCTTCCCAAAATAACTGACAACTGTCGATAGTTTTATTTATTTTAATAGTTTCTAGTTTTAATGGATTTTATTTGTACTGAAATACATCCTGAGAACTGTTAGTCATATGTAAAGAGTGGGTGTGAGCTTCTAGAGATCAAAGAATTTAAAAACACAGTCTGAAATAATCTGGAGTAACATTAAATTGGATAGGGGAAAAAAATGGACTGGAAGGACAGCTATATTATGCTTGTTACCATCATTTACTGTATTCCTCTCTCCAGTTTATGCTTTTCTGTGACATGTGAAATCAGTCTGCTTCTGTTTTTTTCTTCTTCTCCCTTTAGCAGTTTGCATGCTATTCTAATAACCATCTTCTAGACTGAAAGAGGGCTCAGTTGTGCAACTGGCACAAAAAGAATAATTTCCAGGAAGAATTGCAAAAAGCCAGGGGTTTCGTTTCCTATTTAGTGGGGACAGTGACAGGGTAAGGGAGATTTAGAGACGTGCCTTCTGTTTCCATCTGTGCAAAATGATTCATATTGGGACTCTGGTCATTCTTATGTTGAGGCTTTCAGGGATTGAAACCAAAGTTTATGTATGCACATACACACACACACACACCAAATTCAACAGAAAGCGATCAGCATGGGAATGATAAAATCAATTGGGTAATTTAAGTTTTATGCATGAGGAATTTGGGAGCTTGCTTATCTGTATCCATAATGATTATTATGAGCATGTTGTACTGTGTTAATAATATAGCTATATAGATATTAGCTGAAAAGAATTGATTGGCAATCTGAAGTTCATTAGATGTTTCAGATTTCAGCTCCATCCAGGTCTTCCCAGCTTAACCAATGAAAAGGAATTATACAGATTACAGTTCTAAATATATGGAGATTACCAAATTGGTGAAAATCTCTTTTTAAATTCAGGAAAAAGTTCATATTTCCGGAGACTTAGAAATGAAGATACTTCCATGCAAAATCATTTATGAAGAATATCAAAAACAGGTACAATTATCTGGTGGGTGAAGCCAAAATAATCTATGTGGAATATTTTGTTTCTTTCTGAAACAAAACTCCTTGAGATACTTTGCGATTTCATGATAAAAAATAAGTCACAATTTAAACGTTTAAATGAATAAACTTTAGAAAAACAAAAAACATTAAAATTGTTAAAACAATAACAGCAATAGCATAAACGTGTAGATCTATTGTGTTAAAAGTGTATAGAAAGAGCCAAATTATTACGACTCATTTAAAAATTATCAGGGAAATTGCTCAATGTACACTTTTGACAAGGCAAAACAGGGATGCGCTGTTACCACCAACAACCAAGAAGCCGTAACTATTCAGACTAAGTTTGGTCTAATTAAAACAGAATGAAGATGTTGTCTTCTGAGAATTCATGATTCCTACTCTTTTAATGGTGGCTCCATGTGGGTATATGGCTAGCCACATAAAACAAATCTTCAGAATGCTTGAGGATTTAAAATTTAGATTTGTGGGGTATGTGTCTTCCCTATGAAATTAAAAAGGTCAGGTGGAGCAAGGATCCTAAATGTATGTTTAACTCTTCTTATTTTGGTTAAGGGGCCACCCACAGGCCAGATAATCTCACTACTCACATTTCCTTTGGAAATATAATTTGAATCCCGCATGATGTCCCTGGCTAGGCCAAAGTCACAGATCTTCACCAGTTTCCCTTCGCAGATCAGTACGTTTCTTGCAGCCAGATCACGGTGCACACACTGGATAATAGGAAAAAGACATGCTGAGTATGTAGACATATATCTCAGGTGTCCTAATTTTTCTTTCAAAAGTAATTATTGTGCATTGGATTTCCTCAGAATGAAGCAACATCACAACATGCAGTGAGACATGTAATGCACATGATGAAGAATTGCTCAGGCAGCTGCTCTAGAGACATGTGGAAATACTGCTGCCTAAGCTTTATTGTTAAATGGGGTCGAAAGAAGAGGCAGGACTCTATATTGTGACTTCAGTTTTTTATTTTAAAAGATTGGTAAACTTCTTGCCTGGCTGTCTGACAGCTCCCTCTTTTAAAGGGACCTGTCAGGCAGCCCAGCCATTGAAGTTACTTCATTTTCCCGCTGCTCAAATGGACCAATGAGCGCCGGGTATGTTAATATCTCTTTTTGAGACCGGACCTGAGTGAAGCCTTTGCTCAAGGCATCACTCCCTATTTAAATATGTAACATTTATAACTTCATTTTGTCCTCTCACACCGCAGTCTCATTTTGTAAACTTCATAATCCTTTGCAAAGGTGGTGCAAGAAGACCCACAAAAATGCAAGTAGCAGTGCTTTGGCTGGGATAGTTATTTTTAAGACCATTACCCCTGGGACTGTCACAGGTCAAAGCATATTTGGGGTCAGTTTAATATTTATTTATTAAACTTATACAGTTCCCACCTCATTGTTTGGGGCAACCATTAGGTGAAAACAATGGTACACATTCATATTTTTTTGCAGCTGCTGCACACTGCTGGCTCATATTTAAATGGTTGTCCACTAGGACTACAAGATCCCTCTCACAGTTATTACTATTGAACAAGGTACCACATATACTGTACCTGTGCATTTTGTTTTTCTTGCCTAAATGTAGAACCTTACTTTTCTCACCATTGAATTTCATTTTGTTAAATAGCACCCAATGTTCAAGTCTGTCAAGATTCTTCTCTATCTGAAGCCTATCCTCTGGAGTGTTGGCTATTCCTGCTAGCTTGGTGTAATCTGCAAATTTGATCCAACCCCTTTATCCATCAGCCTGCACTCTAAAAATAAGTGCATGCTGGGAAGACAGATGTTCTGACCTGGTTTCCAAATATGACAAGCACACGTTTTTTAACTAAATGTTCCCTTTATTAGGAGCACCAGCAACCCCGGCAAAGAGTCTGTCTCTCCCTTAGAGGGTAACTAAGTCTCTAAGTGAAGCTTGCTCCCCCTGAAATGGCTCCAACTCACCAGGAGTCTCTCTTACTCACCACCCTCATAATGAAAGTCCTGGAAGGTGCGCCCATTTTTTTCCCCAGTAGCGGAGACATACACATACACACACACACACACAAACACAAACACACACACACACACACTCCGAAGGCGCACCCAACTCTCACTTCCTATTAACACCTTTCTTTGGAGAAATAGAATAGAATTCTTTATTGGCCAAATGTGATTGGACAAACAAGGAATTTGTCTTAGGTGTATATGCTCTCAGGGTACATAAGGAGAATAAAATACATTCATCAAGAATAAAAAGATACAACACTTAGTAATAGTCAAGGTTACTAATAAGCTATCAAATTGTACTAGGAAACAAATAAAAACAATATAATTGAAAGATACAAGCAACATGGTTATAGTAATAAGTGGGAAGTAGGAATTGCAACCAGCCACAAGGGAACAGAAAAACTAAGAAATAGTTTGTTCCCGTTGTTTACTATATTGTGGCATTTCTCCCCCCCCATGGTTCCAAAGAACCTAGAATCCTACAAAATTGCAGAATTTGATTTTGAACACTAAGTTTATACGTCATGTTAAGCCATCTTTTGTTTTAGCACTGTTTGTTGAATAGCCACCATTGCCTGCTTCACATAACGTGCTGTGTTTTAGAAACTATAAAGGCTGAATTCATACTTCATTGCAGAATTAGTTCCTTGTACTTTGAGATGCTGCGATTCTTTTGCCCTTCAAATTCATTATTTATTACATGTACTGTATATGCCACCTATCTTGCTATTCAAATTCATTGCTGGGTAGAACTTGAGAAATTCTCTGTTTTACAGTCAGGATGTTTCCCAGCCATATTTTTTTTTTACCTTGTGGTACTAGCAATTGCTTGTGACATCCATACTGTATGTGACATCTTAATGCTGGCTTGTGAGAATGCACTTCAGGAAAAACGACAGATTATGTGGTAATTTAGAAGCAGTTTCTTTGTCTGCACAAGTTTTAGTCTTTTTTTCTCCTTGTCACCACTATTACCCAAATGCCTCATGTGACCAAAATGGCTCAACCCTGATCAAGGTTATGATAACATAGACATGCTGATGAGTGAGTTATTATGTCTGAAATGAATCCTGTGACACAATTAATTGGATTTTTTATGATACTTACTAGGCTGCACTACAAAACTTTTTTTGCTGCTTGAAGGAGAAGAACCCTTCCATTTAATCCAAGATGGATTAATACCCCAAGTTAACCAGGTTTGGGAGCATATAAAGCAAAATATATTCACCAGATCTTCTATTTAATTGGTAAGGAAGAATACAAACCAACAGTTGGCGTCCCATTCACAATCTATCAAATCTGTATTCTGAGGGACTACCTCACTTTGCTTGAAGAATCTGAACATACATGAGCTAGTCTTTTCTTACTGAATACCATGGCTTTTGGTTTGTGCATGCAGGGGGATTAGATAAACATGGCTGGTTGTGAAAAAACGTTGCAGTAATGTCTAAAAAAACAACATACCAAAGTCTAGTAACATCTACACTAACAGCCCTCCTATTTATCCTTTTGAGAGAAACACCTTTGTTCATCTCCACCTCTTTCTGTTTTTTTCTTGAGCACAAACACATACTCAACCATGTCCCCTTCTCCTTTGAAACCAGATATCCATAAATATAGTTATATAATCCTGAGTGCAAATATATTTACGTTTTTAGAAGCTAAGAACTCCATTCCCTTAGCCACTTGGAAGCTGACTCCAACAAGATCAATATAGGTGAGAAGAGGAGACTCGCTGATCAAGGTCGCTTTTTCTGAAGCTGGAAATATAAAATTGTTTATTAAATCACCTTTTAAAAGGACAGAGACATGAAACCTTTCTGCACACATACACTATAACGGTCTTGCTGGAATATAAGATTCTGGAATATAAGATCAATGGAATCAGACGCTTCCTTCACCCAACATTAAATTATACAGGTGATCCTCAACTTATAACCACAATCTGTCATTGAGCGAAGCAGTCTGTCATGCCTCAGAGTACAATTTTTATATATACTGTTGTTGCTCTCTAGCCCCATCTAGTGGCCACAGAGATAAATACAATTATATTGTTTTGAAGCTGATCCAACCCCTTTATCAATCAGCCTGCACTCTCAAAATAAGTGCATGCTGGGAAGACAGATGTTCTGATCTGGTTCCCAAACATGACAAGCACACAGTTTTTAATTAAACGTTCCCTTTATTAGGAGCACCAGCATCCCTGGCAAAGAGTCTCTCTCTCCCTCAGCAGCGTAACGAAGTCTCTAAGTGCCTGTGGAAAGTGAAGCTTGCTCTCCTTCTCCCTGAAATGGCTCCAACACACCAGGAGTCTCTCTCACCACCCTCATAATGAAAGTCCTAGAAGGTGTGCCCGCTTTTTCTCCCAGTAGTAGAGACATACACACAAACACACACACGCACGCACACACACACACACACACACACACACACACACACCGAAGGCATGCCCAACTCTCACTTCCTATTAACATCTTTATTTGGAGAAATAGACTAGAATTCTTTACTGGCCAAGTGTGATTGGACACACAAGGAATTTGTCTTAGGTGTATATGCTCTCAGGGTACATAAGGAGAATAAAATACATTCATCAAGAATAAAAAGATACAACACTTAGTGATAGTCAAGGTTACTAATAAGCTATCAAATTGTACTAGGAAACAAATAAAAAAAATATAATTGAAAGTTACAAGCAACATGGCTACAGTAATAAGTGGGAAAAGATGGATTCTAATAAGGAAGAAAAGAATAATAGTAATACAGTCTTAGTTAATTATTTGACAGTGTTGTGGGAATTAGTTGTTAAGCAGAGTGGAGCCAAACAGCACAAAACTGTGCCAGCCTCAGCCCCCATAGTTGATCCAAAAGGATACCATGGTTGATAGCACTGAAAGTCACTGAAAGGTCAAGGAGAGGAAGGATAGTTACACTACTGCCATCCTGCTGTTGCCAAAGATCACTGACAAGTGTGACCAATGCTGTTTCCATCCTGTAATGGCTATGAGGGTATTGCAATTGCTGTAACTTTGGCCACAGGCTTGTAAATCCTTTTGTACTACACTGTTGTAACTTTGAATGGCTGCTGAATGAATGGTCATTAGTTGAGAACTACTTCTCAACTGGATGAAGCATTTAAGAATGAACAAAACTTCATTTTGTTTGTAATTACGCAAACTGTTTTTCGGTAATCTCTTACCTGAAGGCGAATAGCTGTCCAGCTCATAGGTCGCACCATAATTGGAAGAATCAATGTCTACATACTTGATTTCACCCTTCATGTCAGACATGGGCACATAATCCAGTGATTCATCCTTACTCATGTCCATGTAGCCTCCGTCACTTTCTACAGATATGGATGTATGGCTGCAAAGAGGGATAAGTTTTTTAAACCGTTTGTCCCCTTAGAACAGGTTTCCGGTAATAAGCCACCTCCAGTATAAAATCAGGAAGGCAAGAATCAAAAGTTAACAGTGTTTTCTTTCCCCCATTATTTGTTTACAATAGTAAAAGCTGCCCATAGGCAAAGAAAAGGAACAGTGCAAGAAAAATTATTTCACCGAGGAAAAGAAAATTAAGTGCTGTGATTTATACACACATTATTTATTGACAAGACTGAATCAACGATTACTGCATGTGAGACATGCAGAATGTGCATGTGGTCAAATATCTGAGTTATGAAGCAGTTTGCCTATCAGTAATTGAAGGCTATTATATAATAGCCTTATTATTATAATAGGGCTGGACCTTTCACTTCCTATTAACACCTTTCCTTGGGGAAAGGAGCCAAACCAGTGCAAAATTGTGCCACCCAGCTTCAGCCCCCATAGCTGACCCAAAAGTATACCATGGTTGATGGTACCGAAAGTCACTGAAAGATCAAGGAGAGAAAGGATGGTTGCACTACCCCCATCCTGCTCTTGCCAAAGATCATTGGCAAGTGTGACCAATGCTGTTTCAATCCCATAACTTGGCCTGAATCCTGACTGAAAAAGATCTAGATAATCTGTTTTATCCAAGTCCCTCAGAAGGTGCTAGGCCATCACCTTTTCCACAATCTTCACCAAAAAGGGGAGGTTGGAAACTGGACGGACGTTGTCCAGGCTGGTGGGTCAAACCATTCCCAGGTAACGAGGCAAGACCCCTTCCCAGCATGTCAAATGGTGGATGCATGAGATCCAACTCAGAATGAATCCAGGCAACTTTGTCCATCAGGTGTTGAACATATTCCACTCTGCAGCCCTGAAGATGATCATCTGAGCACCTCTGTCCCAGGAGGAACTGGGTGAGCCAGTACAGGGCTGACAGGTGACACACTAAGGGCAGTTGTTTTGCCGGTCTAACTGCTATGAGATAGACCTTCATAGTGTTCTGACACAGCCTTAACAAACAATGAGAAACCACTTACTCATAAGTAAAACAAACCCCCTTTTAAAACGGGGCAGGAACAGTCTTTATTCACATTGGATAGACAAAACTAAAAATAATTAATCACAAATGAGAATCTTTTCCCCTTCTGAAACGGGGCACAAACAGTCTCTGTTCACATGAGAACTCAAGATTAAAAGTCCTTCAATGATTAAGTCAAGCAGAAACAGTCCCTGTTCACCCCAGCTGAGGCAAATTCACTACCTATCATTTCCCAGCAGGGAGACTCAGTTGACACCTCAAATACAGAGCCATTAGTCCAGACAAGCCTGGTTCCGGCAAAGGAATCCGACTTGATTGATTCCCCCGTTTGACTCTCGCAGCCCAACGTCCAAGTCCACAGCTGCCCGGAACCAGTCGGCTAGACGGGGTGGTAATCCTGGTATACACATGCTTGCCGGAGGTTCCCGGTCCAGGCCCATATGAAGTTGATGGACCAATAGGCACTCTGGCCATGCTCTCAGCCTCCCGGCGATCTTACGGAAGTCATGCACGTACTCCTTTGCCGACCGACCCCTCTGCTTAAGGGCCATAAACTCCCCTTCTGCCAGCTGTCATCTTCAAACCTTGTTCTCAGCACTTCTAGGAATAGTGCCATATTCGCCAATTCTCTGGCATGGTTACTATGTAGATTGGCCACCCAATCCGCAGCCTCCCCTGTGACAACTGCCATGACTGCCACTATCATCCCCACTGGGATGGGTAAAAGCATCCATAAAGATCCATATGGCTGAAGATCTGACTGAGGAAGAGGGCCACCTGATAAGAGCTGCCATCAAACATGGTCTGTATTGGTGGGGGACTCCAGATCGCCTGTTGAGGCCACATCCCTGGGGTCCACAGAGGAGCTTGGTCGGGTGCTCAAGCCATACCTATAGCTCAATTATCGGCCTGGTGGGGCCCTGGTTGTCTTCTATGGGCCAGCTGACCCACCTCCTTCACCACAGGGCCCCTGCTTGGGGCCTGGTCCACGCCTCACACAACATCCCCCAAAGAGGAGGCTTGGTCCCAGGTGCCCTGACATTCTATACCCCTAGACTGGCTGGGTACTTGATCCAAGCGTAACTTTGGACTGGCAAGATGGAATCCAGGGCCTGTGCCCCCCTTGCCACGTGACTGATGGTTTCAACCCTGTTTCCCAAGGTTGCCAGGAAGGGGCATCGTGAAAACTGGCTTCTCCAAAACGTTCTCTCAGGATATTCATAGTATTAGCATCAGGACTCATGGAATAGCTCCACTCATCCTCTTCATCCTCAGTCCAGCTTCTCTCCCTCCATCCCTGGAAGGGGCTCCAGCATGCGTGGGTATAGGCATCCTGGGCCCAGCAGGTCCAGTCAGGGCAGAGCTATGCCACCATTCCCCTGTTGGTTGATTGATTGATTGATTGATTTTATTTTATTAGATTTTTATACCGCCCTTCTCCTACTGGACTCAGGGCGGTGAACAGCCAAGGATAAAAATATCACATGCAAAATTTAAGATTAATTTTAAAAGAATTAAACAAGTTTTGGCCCAATATAAAATTTAAAACACCCCAACTAAAATCAATTAATAATTAAAAATATCTAAGGGGGGGGGCAAGCCAGCCCAGCTTGATGAAATAAAAAAGTTTTAAGGGCAGGACGAAAAGCACAGAGATCTGGGATCCAACGTATCTCCCGGGGAGGTTGTTCCAAAGGACAGGTGCTGCCACAAAGAAGGCCCTCCCCCTGGGAGTTGCCAGCCGACATTGCCTGGCCGACGGCACCCTGAGGAGTCCCTCTCTGTGGGAGCATACTGGCCAGTGAGAGGCTATCGGTGGCAGAAGGTGGTCCCGTAAGTACCCAGGCCCTAAGCCATGGAGCGGTTTAAAGGTGGTAACCAACACCTTGAAGCGCACCCGGAAGACCACCGGGAGCCAATGCAGCTCACGCAGGAGAGGTGTCACATGGGAGCGCCCCATTACTCCCATAATCCCCCACACGGTCGCATTCTGCACCAGTTGGAGCCTCCGGGTGCTCCTCAAGGGGAGCCCCATGTAGAGAGCATTACAGTAGTCCAGGCGAGAAGTGACGAGTGCCTGAGTGACCATGCGTAAGGAGTCTCGATCCAGAAAGGGACACAACTGGCGAATCAGGCGAACCTGATAAAAAGCCCTCCTGGCCACGGCCCTCATATGCTCTTCTAAAGACAGCCGTGCGTCCAGGAGGATGCCCAAGTTGCGAGCCCTCTCCATGGGGGCCAGTAACTCGCCCCCAATAGCCAGCGATGGCACCAGCTGGCTATATTGGGACGCCGGAAGCCACAGCCACTCGGTCTTGGAAGGGTTGAGTCGGAGCCTATTTCTCCCCATCCAGACCCGCACGGGTTCCAGGCACCGGGGCATCACTTCAAGGGCATCATTGGGATGGCCTGGGGTGGAGATGTACAGCTGAGTATCATCAGTGTACTGATGGAACTCCACCCCAAAACCACGGATGATCTCACCCAGTGGCTTCACATAAATGTTGAACAGGAAGGGTGAGAAGACCGACCCCTGCGGCACCCCACAAACAAGGCACCTCGGGGTCGACCACTGCCTCCTGCCAACACCGACTGCGATGGGTCAGAGAGATAGGAGAGAACCACCATAAAACGGTGCCCCCCACCCCCAACCCCTCCAACTGGCGCAGCATGATACCATGGTCGATGGTATCAAAAGCCACTGAGAGATCTAACAGGCCTAGGCTAGAGGAACAACCCCTATCCCGAGCCCCCCAGAGATCATCCACCAATGCAAACCAATGCCATTTCCGTGCTGTGCCCAGGCCTGAAGCCGGACTAGAGCGGATCTAGATAGACAGCTTCATCCAGGTACCATGGAAGCTGTCGCGCCACCACACTCTCAACAACCTTCGCCACAAAGCAAAGGTTGGAAACTGGACGGTAGTTAGCCAAAATAGCTTTTTTTATCATGCAGATACTGCACAAAATCCTCAGTCTGACCCTGCAAGGGATCCTCCCGTGCTCCCAGATGGAGAAAGGAGTGGGTCACCCTAAACTGGGCGGCTGGGCGGTTATTTGCATGTGATATGTAACCAGTCCCAGCTCCAGTTAATGTTTCCTCCGCCATCCTGGGTAGCTCAACCCTCTGCATTCAGCACTCCAAGCAAGCAAGAAGAAAAGAGAGAGAGTGCTGACTTTCTCTCAGCCTGGCTAAGCCAAGCCCGTATGGATACAAATAAAAGCCAGGATCCGACTGTGCAGCTGTGATGCAGAGCTTTATTGCCACTACAAGCCCAGACCCAGCTCACACCGAGTCAAAGTGTTCTTTAAAGTCAGTGCTGAGAGCTTCTGGCTCTCAGCGCCTTTTAATGCCATCTCCCCAGCAAGCCACCATCTGGCGCCCGAAAGCCCTTCCCCTCACAGCTGACCGGTGGTGGTTCAAATGGCTCGCCTGGTGCAGCTTTCCGCTGTCACCTAGGAGGCCCACTGGGAGCACCGCCTTGCTGCTGCTTGGACGCCGCAAGGATCACTGCCTTGCCACCGCCTGAATGCCTTTCTGGGATCGCCTTGCCATTCCTCCCATCTCCGTCAGCTTCTGCTGCTGCTCTGCTCACTCACCCCCAGGTGTGTGTCGAGCCCTGGACTGGGGCTCGACACGGTTGTCTACAACAACAAATACTTGCTATTTATTTCCCAACCAGGGAGGGGCTGGCTAGCATCTACGAATCCTCCCCCCGAGAGCCAGCTTATTGCTTTCTGTTGCTCTCCTCTCCCCTCTACGCATACGTACAATTGGGATGGGCCCCATCTGTTCCTCCCCTTCTCTCAGCTCAGGCCCTGAAGACAGCCGTCTGTCCACCTGGGAGTGGACAGAAGGCACCAGATCTGTCCTTGCCTCTGATTCTGCTTCATCATCAGAGCCTTCAAAGGCTCCAAAGCTGGCTTAGACTTCCCCTCCCCCTCATCTGACTCTGTTGGCATCTGGCGGGCCACAACAAAAGGAACTAGATAATCTGTTTTATCTAAGTCCCTCAGAAGGTGCTAGGCCATCACCCTTTCCACAACCTTCACCAAAAAGGGGAGGTTGGAAACTGGATGGAAGTTGTCCAGGCTGGTGGGTCAAACTATTCCCAGGTAACCAGACAAGACCTCTTCCCAGCATACCATATGGATTTGCTCCACGCATGAGATCCAACTCATAATGAATTTAAGCAACTTTGTCTAACAGATGTTGAACATATTCCACTCTGCAGCCCTGAAGATGATCATCTGAGCACCTCTGTCCCAGGAGGAACTGGGTGAGCCAGTACAGGGCTGACAGGTGACACATAAGGGTGGAGAAATAATTTTGTTTCACCAGTCTAACTGTTATGAGATAGACCTTAATAGTAGCTCTAAATCATGTCTAATGGGAGTCATTCTCCAGCAACACTCTTAACATCTCTTAACCTTTTCAAAACCTTCTTTTGTGACCATAGGAAGTGATGGGTCAAGAGAGCTGCAGGGGAATGATCCTATCCAAGGCCTTGAACTCTTAGGTTCCAGGGTGTTACTAAGGACCATGCAGCAAAACTTCCAGGATATCCCCCAGTTCCCTTTGGAACCCAATATGAGAGAAATCTGATATAATATTTTTAAAAACATGACATAAAGTGAATAAATCCAATCTGAGTTGAATTGACTTTAATTATATTCTGTTTATAAAGAGGAAGTAATCCCCAAAGATCTTTTTGAGGGTACCAGGATCATTATAACTAAAAGAAGCAGGGTTTGGGAAGAACACAAAACTCCTAATCCTCAATGCTGTGGCACATCAAAGAATAAATCTATTCTGGTTTTTCAGTGAATTTTTGCATATGTTTCTGTATTGGTGGGTTTTGCAATTTGTTATATTTGTGTTTCTAAACTCAGCCTTGCTATTGATATAAGTTGGGTATGACTATGTAAACAGATAACTGCAATTAGATTTACAGGCACCTTTGCAGCCGGTCCACACGCATGCCATTCCCATACAATTCTGCTTCTTGCTTGGCCTTCTCACTGTAGCACTGCAGGAAGGTGTGCTTGTTCCTGTGTAGATAGTCCACCAGGTCTCCATTGCGACAATATTCGGTTATGATGTAGATGGGACCTGTACAGAAGGCCATTTTCAGGAAGTCAGAGAATACCTTTTGTTCATAAACTAATGATGGACTTGCTGAAGTTTCAAGTCTTTAAAAGCATTCATTTGGGGTACTGAGGTAATTGAGCGCTCCACTAAACTTCAAGGCTACCATTTCCAAACAAAAGCTCATCTAGAATATTTCTTCTTTGAATACTAGATTTTTTGCATGATGGAACATTTTACTTAGCGAAGCATGTATTTGGGGGGAATCTCACAGGTGTAGTGAATATAGTCCAGGTTAAAATAATATTACGGTACTTAAATGTGGGAAGTAGACTTCCAGCTCTTTTTCTGTATGTCTGTATCTGAGAAAGAGATTAGTCTTTTTTTTTTAAAGTGTTTAAATGTCTCTACATGCTTTTGTAGAAGCTTGTAAACATACCCTTATATTTCTCAGATGTACTGTATGTCCAATTTTCTTTTATTAAAAATCAATAATGCTATGTCAAAGATCATTTGGAGTATCATTACTATTGCCAAGTATCGAATAATACAATGGATTGATACTTTGAGGATATCTGATGGCCAAATTACCCTCTCCTTACGCAGATGGATCAATTCATATGCTTATTGGTTGGTATTCTTCTATAAGTAGTGGAACAGAAGACACAAAACTCATTTTCCCAATGAAGAGACACAAAAGAGTTTTGCATATAAACACACACACTTGTATGTGTGTGTGTGTGTGTGTGTATCTATATATCTGAATCCATATCTATATTTCTGTTGATCTATATGATCAAATAAACATTGATTGTATCTGCAATCAGATTACAATAAAATAGTGATTGTAAACAAATGATCAAGCACATATTGATTGCACAGAGAGACTTGTGCTGCTGTCTCTTGGAGCATTTATATCACACATCTGCCATCTACTGACTATTCCACTACAAAGCAAGAACTTTTAACTGGATGAACATGTGAACCAGCTCCTGGTACCTTGTTTCCTGCACTGACTCTCTACTGCTTTCATTATTTGGATTAAGTAATGTTTCTTTTTTCTTTAAGAGTTGCAAATACCTGCACAAATTACATAGCATAGCATACCTTCCCTAACACTGGAACCTGTTCAAAACCAGGAAAGTAGGCAGGACATGCAAGTTATAATTTTTAAAAACTATAATGTGATTTTAAACATTTCAGCAGGTAGCAGGAACCCTTTTATTTTGATAAAAATAAATATATTCCCGTGTAGCTATATCAGATGATGGTCGTGTTATTTACAAACCTGGCTATTTTCATAATCTTAAAAGCATAATTGAAAGACAGCTAGCAATTTTGATGCAATGCATATAGAGAAGAGGACTTTCAGAACTAATCTCCATTAACATTTGAATTTATTTAGTGATCAGGACAGTCTCTATAGTATTAAAAGCAAATAGCAAATAAAGTTGTGTGTATAATGGATTCAATAAAACTAGCAGGGCTTTCATTATACATCAAAGGTGGTTCCATTCAAATGGCACACGCTACGTGGCCTTGGCTGATCTTGAAAAGCTAAACATAGTTAACTGTCATCAGTAATTGGATGGAAGACCACCTGGGAAATCCGGGGCTGTGTATTAAATGGAGATTAAAAAAAAAAAGTCCTGGAAAGGCAAGACAAACTATTAGTGCAAAATTCTAACTAGACCTCTCTGTGTAAATCCGCAGAAGTTGAACTTACATTCTAATGAAGAAATTGAAATATGTGTGGTTTGGAAAGAGGTAAATGCTAGTGTTTCTTATTTCCATTGGATGGAAATTGGGAGGGTGATAAAAGGCAGGCTATGTCCTTTTCAGAAAACAGCTATACAGGAATAGCTCATTAACTTATGAAAACATGAACATCTTCATCTATTTGCCAAACTCCATGCCAAATTAAAAGACAGCAATTCCAGTAAGTGGAAGAAAATGGCAAGGGGAGAGAGAGAGAGAGAGAGAGAGAGAGACATCTGGGTTGAAGAGATTAAAATGAAAACGGTACCTCCTTTGGTGCAAGCACCAAGCAAGTTCACAATGTTCAAGTGAGGCCCAAGGTGGCTCATGATCTTCAGTTCTGACATCAGAGCCTGCTTTTCACTGCTTCGGGCTGTGGCTGTAAGGTGGATGAATACAGTAATGAAATACAGATACTTTTTAAATGCAATCCACACTGGGCGTATACAAGAAGAAGATCGGGACAATCTTGTTGGGTACTCAACCAGATTAATCATGTAAGCTATTATTTAGATAACATTATACATTATATGGACACCGTTATGTATGCCATGGGATTGGTACCAAAGATAATTGAATGGGAAGGTAGATAAACAATGAATATGACAACATATTGTTAAACGGCCTAAAGGAGAAAGCCAGGCATGGAAGACGGCATGATTATTTGTATTTCCCTGTGCTGGGAGGAAGAAGAAACAGTCGAAACTCACACTTGAGCATTTTCACAGCAACTCTCATGGTGGACTGGGAATGGCTGAGGCTGTGAGCAATTGCTTCCACCACACGGCCAAAGGCTCCAGAGCCCAATGTACGTCCTGCAGCAAGCAGAAGATCAAATAGCTATGCAATTTTTGCTTCCTATAAAACAGCTGAGAATAGTAAGATTGCAGCAGTCAAAAATTCAATAAAATACATCGTCTTCTCTAACTACAAACAGCTATGATGGGGAGGGCTTGACAGGATTGTTGTTTGGATTGTCCTTAATATGAAAATTTGGGCAGAAAGAGCTACGCCACAGGGAATGACTTAGGGGTGGACCAGGGCTGGCCTGTCCCTGACTGATCAGGTAAAGAGTGTGATCCCAATTAGCAGAGTATGCTAAATGTGACCTCTAGGGGCAGAGTAATTACAAATTTTGAGCTTCACATTCTCAGACGATTTGTTTGTCAATGTATTAAATTTCTAGGTCACCTCACTTCAGATTACTCTCTGGACAGCTTCACGGAATTTAAAGAAACACCAATACTAATACTCTTCCTTCATTACTATAGTCTTAACTGTCAAGGCCACTGTGATGATATTCATGAAATACAATTTAACAACTACATTGTATTCAGAGTACCAAAATGTATATTGTTTATACAAGCTTGCTGATTATTTTTCTAAGCCCACAATGTAGGGGCTTTTCTCCTCTGGCATTAACATGGTTGATGTCTCCTTGGCAACCTCTTTTTTTCCTTCCTGACTCAGCCTTCCTCTTATTCCCAGCCCAGTTCATGTTTATGAAGCACCTCACCACATAGATACACAAATGTGAATTACTGGGTTTTCCTATAATATTAAGTAATACATATTATATTACAATTTGAATATAGTTATGCCTGTAACCCATCTTTCAGCATCCTTTAAAAGTCTCTGAAAAATATGCTGCAGATCAAAGGATGAGGCTTCACAGTCTAAGAGCCATCTAGTAAGAAACGAGATTCAGACCTGGAATTCTGAATGCAACCTTCCCCAACTTTATACAGATGAACTCTCATCCTCCCAACTGTCATGGAGAATGTCAAAGTTGGGGTTGAATGAAGAGGCAGAACTCGGCTCAGTGACTACAGCTCTTTATTTTAAAGCTGATACAGCAAAACTTTCCTGGTTGTCCGACAGCTCCCTCTTTTAAAGGGAGCTGTCCAGCAACCTGGCCACTTAGGTTGCTCTGATTTCCCGCTTCTCGATGTGCACCAATGATTTTAAACTACAGCCATTTCCCGCCTGGGAAGTGGACCTGAGTGAAACCTTTGCCCAAGGCTTCATTGCCTATTTACATATTTAACATTCCTCCCATCTGGAAAAGACATTATCCAATCAGTGAGGTTCAACTGATGTAGTCATGCAGGTAGGCAGGGCATTGGTGGGTGTGACCTGTGCAGCTCAGTTGGAACAGCGGTGGCAGCCTGGGCAGTCTGTGGCTGCTTCGGACTCAGCCAATGGAAACATCTGGAAATTCTTCCGGGGTTTGGCTGACTCCGCCAGAGTCGACTGCTGCAGAACACTTTGCTGGATTCTTGGTTCCTCAGGTGGGTGTACGCATTGCCTATCCGGGTGTGAGTCTAATGTGTGTGGATCCTCAAGTTGTAGGTCGACTTCTAAGGGTGTTTTGGTTGTTGTTTGGGTAGGATTCCCTTCTGGTTGCCTGAGGACGGAGTTCCTTATTCGGAGGCATCTAGTTGATCTATGTGTCTCCTCCATATTTTCCATTCTTCTAGCTCCACTTGGTAAGAGAGGGGTCTGATAATCATGATTATTTTGGCAGAGACCCAGGAAGGACTCCTGGCATAGTTATGGGCATATACTAAGTCCCCTATGCTAAATGATCAGTGCTGGCTGGTCGAATCAGTGGGTACCTCAGCATTGTAATTGGGGTGTAGTCTGTCTGGTTGTGATCTTAGTTTGTGACCCATTAGTAATTCTGCTGGGCTCCGATTTGCGGTGGCGCTAGGTGTTATGTGCTATACTAGGAGAAACTTGTCTATTTTAGCCTGCCAGTCTCCAGGGCCCGTTTTAGCTAGTGCTTCTTTGGTTGACCACACCATTCTTTCTGCTTGACCATTGCTCAACAGATGGACTAGGGCATGTTGGATTCCATGCTCTGCTAGGAATATCTCAAGTTGATTTGCTGTGAATTGGGCCCCATTGTTAGAGACCAGGACGCCTGATAGTCCATGGGTGAAAAGAAGTCTCTGTAATACCTTGATGACTGATTCAGCCATTGTTGTGGTCATAAGTATTACCTCAACCCATTTTGAATATGCACCTACAACTATTAGAAATGTTGACCCTGGACCGGTCCCATGAAATCTATGTGCACTCATGACCAGGGTGCTGTGGGGGTTTCCCATTCCCTCGTGGGTGCTGTGGGTGCTGCTGGTCTGGATTCCTGGCATGGAGTACAAGTAGCGACCCATTCTGTTATCTCCCTATCCATATTTGGCCATCAAACATAGCTCCTGGCTAGTGCCTTCATTCTGACAATGCCAGGATGCCCCACGTGTAGTGCCTCTAGCACTTGTTTCCTTAGCTTATAGAGTACAACCACTTGATCCCCCCACAACAGGCAACACCTTTGGGCCGACAATTCATGTTGTCATGCTAGGAATGGTTTAAAATCATCCCCCACTGGCCCCTCAGGCCACCCCCTCCACCCCCAATTCAGAACTTGTGACAGAGTTTTGTCTTTTGCTGAATGTCCCACTATCTTGGCCGATGTGACATGGCCAGATGCAAAATCCTCAATGAGAAGTATGGGTGCAACAGGGACAGGATTCTCTACAAAGTCTGGGAGTGGGCAGTGGCTGAGGGCGTCGGCGTGATGAATGTCTTTGCTTGGCTGGTGTATTAGCTGCTAATTATATGCTGTCATGAAAATTGTCCATCTCGTCATTCTTGGGGATAAAACGTTTGGTGTGGGGTGGTCCCCCATGAGATTGCCAAGAAGTGGTTTGTGATCTGTAATTATTTCAAAGTCCCTCCCATATAAGTATTCATGGAACTGCTTGACCCCTGCCACTACAGCCAGTGCCTCCTTGTCCAGTTGGCTGTAGTTTTGTTCCATTGCTGATAGTGTTTTTTGAGTAAAATGCAATTGGGGCCTTGGTCCCATTTGGAATCCGGTGGCTGATGATAGCCCCAACGCCAAATGGGGAGGCATCGCAGGTTAAGATGAGGGGCAGAGTCTCATTATATCAGATGACAATAGTTTCTTAACAGCAGAGAAGGCAGAGGCTTCTTTCCATCCCCAGGTACATTTCGCCTTCTTGTCTAGCAATCGGTGTAGCAGCTCAGCTACAGTTGCCTTCTGTGGCAGAAAAATACTATAAAAGTTTAACAGTCCTAGAAATACCTGGAGTTCTGTCTGATTCTTTGGGATGGGGGCTTTCTGTATGGCTTTGACTTTGCTTTTGGTTGGGTGTATTCCCAAACCGTCAATTAAATATCCCAGAAATTCAGCTTGTGACACAACTATCTGGAATTTTTCTTTTTTAACTTTAAGTCCGGCTTCTTGAAACTGACTCAGGACTCTCTTTAGTTGGTGGATGAGCGCTTGTTTGTTGTCCATGGACACAAGGATATCTTTGTCCCCGGAACGCCCTATACTTTATACTTTGAAAGAGTCCTGGTGCCACACTTACACTAAATTGCAGCCAGCGACATTTAAATGCCCCTCTATGTGTTACAATAGTTTGCACCTCTGCAGTGGCATTGTCAACCGGCACCTGCTGATAGACTTGGGCTAAATCTAGTTTTGCAAAAGTTTTGCCCTTCCCTAAAGAATGCAATAAGTGAACGATGGGCACAGGGAAGGCATTCTGTTGTAATGCCTTATTGATCATGCATTTATAGTCCATGCATATGCAGATTGAGCCATCTGGTTTGATTGGTGTGACAATTGGGCTCTCCCAGTTAGCATGATCAACTGGCTCCAGAACCCCTGGGCAATTCGTTTGTCTAATTAACTGTCTATTTTGGGCCAGAGAGCAAAAGGGACCCTCCAAGGTTTTATTCGGATGGGGTGAGGTTGGGGTCTAAGTTGAAAGAGATGGGTTTCCACATATACTTGCCCAAACTCATGTTGAAGATGTCTGTGAATTCTTTTGTCAGCTCCTTGATGGCGTTGATGATCCTAAACCCAGAGAGTTGAACCACTCCAGCTCAAGCAGGCTTGGCAGGTCGTCATTCACCACCAGTTGCAATGGTCTGAAAAATTTTTTGAATTTGACTTGGAAGGATCCATTCCCTATGACAGGGATGTGGTTCCCTTGATAGTCCTTTAAAAGTATTTTCTGAGGCGTTAATCGTTTCTGTCAGCTCCAGAACCGCCGCCTTTATGGTTTTCCAGGACACAATGGTCATGTTTGACCCCATGTCCACTTCCATGTCACAGGGGGACCCCTCAATGAGAATCGTGAAATGGATCTTCTTTGAGCGGTGTGCATTAGAATGCCTAATGATCGTTTGGTGTGTTTCTCTTGCTTCTGCGACTCAATTTTCTCTTCTCTTGGGCTCTGGAAACTGCACTTTTCAGAATCCCATTTGGGATGTAGGCTGCCCTGCAGGCTGCACTGGCGGTACAAGGCAGGCTGGTTGGTATGGCAAACCCTTGTTATGTGCCCCTTCCGCTTACATCTTTTGGAAATTGGTGTCTTGGAATCAGCAGCCCGCTCTGGGATGATTGCCCCCACATCCGGCACAAAACAGTGATCTGTCTCCTGGTTCTGGGATTTCCTTCTTTCTTTTGAATCGTAGGTAATGGATTTCATTGTCCTTATCTGTTGAGTCTTCGGGCTCAATGCTGTCTTGATGCATGGTAGCTGCTCCTTGCAGAGGCTGTGTATTCCATGTTTTTTGGATTGTCGGTGCTGACTTATTGGAGGCTTCAGTTGCTCTTGCTTCCTTGAGCGCTGTTTTAAACATGAGATTAGGCTTCGCTAGTGTAGATTGATGTCCCTCAATCTCAGAACAAGTCTATCTGCCATCACTTCCTCTATATTGCTGAATTTGTAACAAGCTGCGATTTTTCGTAGGGCAGCAACATGTTGGTTAA